AACAGTTTGGCGTGTTTGATGTGTCATAACATATTACCTACTACTCCCTTTATCCTATCGTTTTGTTTCTTCTTTCATATGGGACGAAGGGAGTACTAATTAAGTATCACAGATTAAAAATTGAGCCAAGTCAAAACAAGAACAAGATAAAGGGACGGAGGGAGTAACCAAGAATAGTATAGATCAACTAGATGTTAATCGCAGGGTTATTTGTAATTTTTGTAAACATTTATTTAACATATCTATGACTTTTTTCCAAAGTTTTTTTCATCATCGGACTCCTGAACTGTTTTTGTATAATGTAAAGTAATTTCCATTGAATGAAACATATTCTTTGAGAGGTAGCATGGGTCTTCGCTAGTGATTCCACGTGGAGTTTGTGGTCTCCCAAGATGAATGATCTTGCATAATATGTGTACACAATAACTGGCCAACTCGTCCTGCTAAACTGTCTGTACTTGTAATTCCTAAATTCAAAATGTTTTGTGGCTATGATGTTACTTTGCACACATAGTATCATCTCTTAAACATGTTTTTTAAATATATTTAAAGTTCTGTGTTCTCTTCATTCTTCCTGTTTTTATTATGCAGCAATTTATTTTGGATTATTCTTGTAGCATAGACCTATACAATGTTTCCTTGCTATGTTATTTATACTGCCACATTCAATGTCATTTGCAGAAAGTGCTTCGTGCATTGGGCCTCTTTGCTGGCTCCATCGTTCTGATGCGCCAGTACGGTGATATGATGAATGTCTGATGATGGGATACTGTTGTTTCTTGTCGTCAAGTCTAATTCGAGTTGAATTTGTATATTTCTCATTTGCCCTTCCTGATTCTGGATGAAGTACGCATTGCAATGTTCAAAACTTTGGTTTTTGGTAGTGATTCTCAGACGATAAGGATCTGATCGAAATGAGTTTTTAAGCTCAAATTCTGGTTTTATGTTTTGAGACTTCCGCAAGGGTTCCAAACATATTTGTTACTCCGTATTTCTTTGTGCTTTTCATGAAACTTTCAAAGGTAATGGTTCACTTGAGAGTTGTACTTCGCTAGAAGACTAATGTTTTGTAGTGTGAATTGGAAAGAAAGGAAAAAGGATAAAATGAGAAGAAATTTTGAATTTCTCTGGCTTTGCATATACTCCGTAAAACAAAGATACGGAGTATTTAAGAAAGTAGAGGAATTGTAGAGTTACAACATCCCAAATGATGTAATTTTGAGGCATTATTTCAATTATGGCACACGGTGTCCTATTCGTAAAAATTGACGGTTTTACTCGTCATAGGTCCCCTCATACATCCTTTCCTCCATTGTCCTCCCCCATCACTACCCCCTAGGAACTGTACTATTTAAGTTTGGTTGGAATTTTAGTCTAAATTTTGACCTATAAAGTCAATAGAACTTGTAAAGTGCAAGGTGCAATTGTGGGAGGGTGGGGGTCTGGGTGGGGTCTTATGAGGGATAAGTATCATTAATTCTAAAACATGGTGGTATTCAAAGACGGGTCTCGAGGGCTCTTGGATGGATGGATGACATGCATCATTTCTTTTCTTATAGATTTTAGTTTGTATTTCATGTTCGCGTATTTTAGTTCCATTACTTCTAATAAACATCTTTTAGTCCTTTCACTACTCATTTCATTTTTACTGAACAAGACACAACTCTAGAGGGGTTCCGTGAATAGAGTAAAGGAGTAAATTAACATTATTTTTTTAAGAATATTTTCTCAAATGCTCGCTAAGAAATGCTCGAAACACACAATACTGAATAAGATTTATGTCTAACTAAGAACTGCTCCATGCTTTTAGCTAGGGTTACCATGCATGAAGGAACTCTGAATACAGGCTTAGATCGTTTGTACAGACAAACTTTTTGGGTGCTAAGATCCAAAGTCGAGAGGGAAACAGCCCAGAAAGTACGCTATGGTCCATAAGCAATCACTTAGTGGAAAAGGAAGTGATCTGTTATATCCGGGCATGCCCTACCCAGAACTCAAGAACGTGCCACAAGTGTTCAAACAAATCAGGGGATTTATGGTTAAGTGTTATAATCCTTATTGGGTTGATTTAAGTCCTTTCTTCCACTCAAGAACACCAACCAACACCCTTGTTGTTTTTAAACCCCCTTGGCCGCCCCAACCATGTCCAAATCCACCCTAAACATCCAAAATTCCTTGCCACTTAATTCCTTTCCAAGTAAAGTTTTCCCTACTCTTCTTATTTTAGCCCATGGCCAAAAATAAGGGTGTGTAAAATAAAACCTTTTGTTTATTGTTATTTTCCTTCTTTTAAGCCTTTTATTAAACAAATAAAACCCTCCCTCTATTCCATTCACCCCCGGCCAAAATACACTTCACAATCCCAACATAAACACCCACAAAGAGCCAAAATCATGACCCACCTCCAGCCCCTACTTCCTGCCCATGTTTCCCTCACAATAACCCAAAGCCATAACTCCAAAACACCCATAAATATTACCCAGCCTTGTCCCCTTTTATTGGCCAAAAACAACCCCTCATTTTTACCCAAATAATAGCCTTAAAACCTAGGAAACAACCACTACAAACCAAAGCTCAAAACCACCACAATCCCAGCCCCATCCCTGATTTTATCCCACTAAGGAGACAGGTTTGAATGAAGAATGCCCCATTCTTTGGAAGTGGATGCTGCTAGGAAGCTTCCTCATGTTCACATTCAATGTATAGTGTGTGTTATCCCCCTTCCCCCTGCCTATATAATCAGGCCATATGGCCATTGTAAAATCAATCTTTTGAATATTAAAACTCCTTTTACTCTTTGAGTATTTATAAAATAGTGTGATGCTATTTTAGCCAAATTCCTAATTCTATATCTTAAGAGTGGTTATCTTAAGTGTGAGTTTTAGGTTCTAGATATTTGATTAAGTGTGTCATATCTTAATTAAATTCTAGATTCAAACCCCAAGTGAGGATAAGAGTGTGTAATATCTCTTAAACACCAACTTGGTTTATTCATCCCTCATTTTCTTCCATTCCATATCTCCCCATTTCTCCTCTTAATCTTACTCTTTTCTTCCATTTAAAAAACCCAAAAGAACTCCTTTATCATCTCCATATATTTCCAAGCCAATTCCCCACAAAACACCCTTTTTCCTGCCCAGAATTCTGCCCAACAATCGATTATCTTGATTGACAATCGATTATCTATCATCGTTGAAACACCTGCAGCCTTCAATAGTCGATTGTCCACTTTAGACAATTGATTATCACTTCCTCCTGAAATCCTGCAGCCTCTAACAGTCGATTATCACTCTTTGTCAGTCGACTATCGGCCCCTCCTGAAATTTCTGGGCTTGATAATCTTGATACTCGATTATCTAAAGAGATAATCGACTATCACGAGCTCCTAAAGTTCAAAAGCTGTTTGAGTTTGCTTCCAATTCCTCCGTAATCCCGCCCTCAAATTACTTACATGATAAGACCCCCGGTTCGGGTATAACATGATCGAGCGATGACAACCAGGAGGTGGGCTTGGAAGCAGCCATCCTTTGAAGAAAGCGTAATAGCTCAATGGTCTAGCTCTATGGCACCGAAAAATGTATCAGGGCTCAAGTGATTCACCGAAGCGACGAGAACTTGAAAGGTGCTTTTTCAAGTGTCAGTAGCGGAATGTTCTGTCAATCGGGTAAAGCATGGGCATCGCTGGGAAGAATCTTTGTAAACCCTATGATGAAGGTGGACTTTGGATTAGGGATTTGGAAAATTTTGAAACTGCTAATCTTTGGTGGGAAGTGCACAATAGAAGTGCACAATATAACAAGAAATTCTATGAGAGCTAGATATTTGACAAAGGAAGGCAACATGATCGAGGAAGAGTTGACAGACTCCCATGATTGAGGTTAGCTAGAAACGCATTCTTCTCAACTGTACGTCCAGTAAAGTTATAAGGACTATTATTCGTTTTTTTATTGGTATACTTGACATTCGTTATTTTTATTTTTTTATTAATTAAAAAAGTGTCATTATTATAATTTTTTATTTTCTAAGTATTATACCAATATGCATTTCACTTTTTTAAATATGTGATTTTATACACTCCGTACATAATTAGTTTTATATCTAAAAAAGGTTTTATAAACTTTAAGTTTTAAAAAAGAAAGGTTTATATAATTGTACAAAAATTATTCATCGTTTTTCCCATTTACTACTTTCTAAAAGTAAAGATTTATAAACATCTTAATACATCAAATTCAAAACTCTAACTTTTGTTTCCAGAAAGATTTATCTCACCGTTAAAAATTATTTATATAACACATATTATATCTTTTTTTTGAAATCCATATTATATCATTATTAAAAATTAAATAAAATAAAATTATATTTACATATTGTTAAATATTTAGAATGTCTAAGAGCACACCGTCAACACTAGTTAACCATTAGTATTGTTTGACTTCACAGATTATAAAAAAATGTTTAAAATGAAAAATCTGTGAGCAAAACTTTTTTTACCCAATCTTTAAACAAAATGAATGGAATTTATTTCGGGACGCTCAAAAAACAAATTGCGAAGTTTATTTATTCACATGTATTCAATGCTTGTATTTGTACACTTTCAACAAATCCACTAGAGTGCCAATTCCATTCATTGGGGTTTGGGGTCAAAATCTGCGCAACCTTACATCTATAAAATAAACCCCGTTGTTTCATTTAGACCCTTGAAGCATTACCTCATTTACTACACAAAAGATCATAAAAAAGTAAGAAGCCAGAAATAAATGTTAATGTGACTTTCATTTAGACCACAAAGACCATTATTTTACTCTAAACTAAAACATTGCGAAAATTTTGGAGAACTTTTTTTAGCTCCATTAGTAATGGACACACAACTTGTACACTTGTATGGACGCACGAATACACTTGCACGGGAGGATGTAAATGAAGCATGCTTACTTGTACGAGACGGTGTAAATGAAATATGCTCAATAATTATGCTAATACACCCATTTACAAGGGCCACAAGACGAGAGACTTAAAGCACAGTAGCAAAAAACAAATAGACGCATAAGAGAAACAAGCACTTACACTCGTTTGAATGCACAAGTATCTGTCACAAGAACTTTGAACTTGAAATGATAACTTGTTACAACTTTAGTTACAAAACCCAACATTACACCATCAGTATCTTAAATCAAGAGGTATAGTAGATGTGATGGTAAGGTGTCATATTTACCTTGAAATATCTGAAGGATTGTTTGGATTTGGTTTGTACCAACAGAGATATACCTAAAACACAAAAGGAGGTGCAGGATGCCTCCCTCCTAGTTCAAGACTTAGAAGCTAGGCATCCCCAAATGCTGGTGTGCCACCACCTGATGCAACTGCAGCTGGAGAAGGAGTGGATGAGATGTAATTTGTTGCTGATATGGAAACTGACGGCGCGTTTGAAGGGAGCCCTTGTTTCCCTGCACTCGCGAAACGTGATGGGCTGCTAGCAACCGCCATAGTAGTCCGTGAAGAGAACGGGATCTGTATCGAAAGGCCATTGAATGAGAGAAGTTAGCAATATCTGTTATGTCTAACGGATCAGCCAAATGCATTATGCATAGTATTAATCATACCGCTTGAGCTCATTTTAGGAAAATAAAAATATTGAGCAAGTTAGAATTTAAGTAAGAAAAATCAAATGTTCAAGCATCACAGTGCACTAAGATTAAAAGCAGGAATTCCTATGCAATAGTTAATAAGCATATTTATATATGATTGAGTAAGGCTGTAATTTATAACAAATTATGCTGGGAAAAGCTGCAAAAAAAAGGATGGGGCCGAGTTGGGGTACTATGTCCAAACTCTAAAGTTATACTGATAGCATAGCCTAACTGCCTAGGACTTGACTCATCGATGTAGCATCTATTTGACTTGCTAGTGTAAGAACTCATCCAAAAGCACAAGAACTAGCTGTGGAATGGCTGGAAGCCCAAATAATATCAGCAAAATCTGGAAGCAGTATTAATATATTAAAATCAAACTTGACGATCAAGCACTTCCGGGAATAACTGCATTGGCATTGCACTTATAGCTATATACTTACAACCCCCCCAAAGCTTTTATACTAAATGCTTGAAGAAACAAAAACTGCACAGTAGTACTAGAACGTTAGTGGCCTTACTGTGTTATGCACGGACTTCCTATGTTGGGAGTCCGGGGATGGTGATGTACAGTTCATACGTAACGAGTTGCGGGAATGCAAGTTGTTGGATACATCATCACCTTCTCCTCCAGCATCTGCACTGTGCCCATCTGACCCCATTCTTGGTGTATTACGTCTAGTCATTGAACCAGTGTCATTTGTGACATCTACCTGAAGAGGGACTGGAGGGCGACCTGCCATCCCTTGCAAACTGTTCTTCCCCTTAAGCGCCTCTTCAGCGCTGAGGATCTGTAAACCAATAAGCAAATGTATCATATTGCCATACATATATGCAGAAATTGGTAAAGTGTCCAGGCATTAAGTAATACCATTAACCATATGGAGAAAGTGGAGAACATTAAAATACCTGCTTCAGCAACTGCACCAAATTGTGTTTCTTGTCATTTAAAACCTCCAACTTCTCCTCAACCTCCTTTTTCCGTTTTGCTATATCACTTGTCACATCGACTTTGTTTTTGGCCTGCCAAAGAGTAAATGAAAATTAGATAATTCATGTGACTAAGAATACAAATGTGAGGTCTCTAAAAGAAAAAAATGAGATGGTAAAAAAAGGTGTGGCCTGACCAAAAGATTTCCAATTGGAAGTCAAAATGTTTGTATCCCTCTTAAGTTGCTCCGTACTTTGTATCGGGAGCTATCCAAACTTGTAGTAATAATTTTAGAAAAACATGATGAACTTTGTTCATTTCATGTACAAGTATACAACAACAACAAATCCAGTAAAATCCCGCAAAATTAAAGTCCGGGAGGGTGGGTGTAAGTCAACCTTGCCCCTACTCGAAAGTAGAGACTAGAGAGGCTGTTTCCAAGAGGACCCCGACTAAAGCACAGTCAACGTAAACCATCAAAACGGACACAAAGCATATGAAAGAATAAAAGCCAAGAGCACAAATGTTGTAAACAGTTAATATTGTTGTTGTATGTTTTTACTTACCTTCCTTTGAAGAACGGAAAAATGTAAAAACAACAGGAAATGAATTGTTTCTTATGCAGCGAGGTGATTATCGTATTCTTCATGGAATTTTCACCTAGGAAAAGGGGAAATTTAACCGAATATTTCCATCACTTCATCCGAAAAAAGAGGATCATTTACTGCTTCTCCACACCTTTGAAGTCAGGGTCTTAGCCCTTAAAAATTCTATTCCAACATTTTGCTTGAATCTTAGTTTGAACAAGTGTGCCTAGGGCGCACTAGCTTACTTAGTTGCATCGCTTAGCATGAGCCAGTGCATTATGCACACCTTCCTTGCCTTTTTATCCAGGCACAAGGCGCACTATCTTGAGTGCTCAAGGAATGCTATGATTTTTTTTTTGGTAAAAAATATGTATACCTGGGAGAAGTGACTCTAGTAGTGCAACCCAACAAAAATAGTGTCAAAATCTTCTTTAATCAGTAAACTCACAATCCCTCTCACATTACTAAGTATTTCCTTCTCCTTTCTCCTCCTTTTTCTTCTACCTCGCTGATCTTTTCTTCTTCTCTTCGTCTTTCTTCCTTCTCCTCTTCCTTTTCTTCTTCCATATACTCTTCTTCGTCCCGATTCATAATTCTATTGTTTCTTCTAATTCTGGTTGGGCTTGCTCTCTTTGTGCTGGATAACAGAGGGCCGACTTGCTGTTAATTATTTAGTTTCTCCTTTTTGGTAGTTGCTGTGTACTTGTGTTCGTTCTCTCTTTCCTGCACTCCAACTAAATAATTGCTACTATTTCTTTCATGGAGACATGGAGTGTTGTTGTTTCTTATCTATACCCTCCGTCCCAATTTAGTTTTCCTACTTTGACTTCACAAAGATTAAGAAAAGAGTTGAAAAGATGTTAAAAAGTGAAAAGTGAGTGGTTAGCATTTCTCTGGGAGATAGAGGAGTATTTAGGACCAGATATTCTTTTCCAAAAAAGAGGAGAAAAAGTGAAAAAATTATTGTTGGAAGGATGAAAAAGGAAAGTCCAAACACATTTGTGGGATGAAGGGAGTATAAATATTCTTACTGCTTTGTTAATGTTAATGCTTCTTGTACACTGATTTTCCACATATGTGTTTAACTAGAGGATTTCTACTAAAAGAAAAAAACATATAGTGTATTAGCACTGGATGTAATACACTCATGCTCAACCTTTAATTGACAATTATGAGTTCAGATAAATCACAATTTGGTTTTTGTTTACTTTTAATTTTGTTATGAACTTTGAAGTTCTAACAATGAAGCTGTTTGGTTTTGATTGCTTCTATGTTTCATGTGGAAAGTTTGATGTTGAATGTGGTTGTTAATGATATTCTTGTGTTTTATTGCAAAATATCATTGTCCAAGCAATATAAATGCATGTGATAAAAGAGGTGGGCCTCTATTCCGTGAGGCATGCACCTCCACTCCGTGCCTCGCACCCCGGCTTTGGGAACCCAAATCACGTCAGTAGACCTCATGCCTGTTGGAACTATGACTAGAATAAATTCTGTTCTATATCATTAAGTTTATGAGAAATGTGCTCTTTTCTACTAAGTTAGTTTGGAAATCGATTTGTTTGTGTATTTTTTGTTAGTTATCATGTTCGGTGTAGGGTGATGCAGACTCCGGGTTTGAATTATATGTTGGAAGCCTGTCTAGTTTGATTTTTTTGAGTCAAATTGGATGAACTTTAATCATCAATTACTCTCAATTTGTATTGTATATTAATACAATGAAATAAGACCCTTTGACAAGAGTAAAAAGAGCCTTGGATTGAGTGAAACCATAAGCCCGCAAAGAAGTAGTCAATTTAGAGAACCAACGTCACGGGGCGTGAACTCGCTGCAGTTTCTAACTTATACTCCCTCAGCTAGTAAAAAAAGCATGAAGCTATAGATACGTAGTTACATAAAGCATATCCAAGTCTAAGAATATCTAAAAATGTCATTAGCTAGACTTATTACTAATTGGATTGTTTCTTTTGATTATTTTTCTGATAGTCTCATAAAAGGACAGAGGATGCAAAATGAAGCAAGAAATGTAAATGAGAAGGTAAATCTGCATTCTGCAACTCCTTTTCTCGTGAAGGAAGCTAGAAAATAGAAATCAAGAGGAAATTAAAGCAAAACATAAAACAATAGCCCTTAGGTCATTCCAATGCAAACACACGTTTCCTAGTGAAATCAGAAGAATATCTAGACATAAATTGTACTGCATATAGTTTTTTGGGTTCTGCATTCTTAATAGGATGGCTAACAGGTCCATTCATTCCCTAGTGGATCCATTTCGACATCAGCATGCTAGTATAATCTCATTCACAATGGTTTGTACTTATTAGAATGACAATTCTTAGATTTTAGAGTTGTATCATATCTACCATTACACCTATATTTAGTAAACACAAAGATCTAAATTCATAAGAACAACAACTGCACATTTATAACACTGATAATTATGGAGCATAAAAATTAATTATAGAAACAGCAAAAAATATACACATATAGAAAAAACAGCATGATAGTATGATGCATAGAAGAATATAAGCATACTTCATTACTTGGATTCACCGGAGTCTCTGATTTCTCCCCTTTTACAACATCGACCTGAGTCTCAAGCACCGCATCAGATCCCTCAACCAACTTCTCCGGCAATTCCACGCCATCAGAAACTTTGACTACCGTTTCTTTGTGACATCCAACCTCAACCTTGCCATCCCCTTTCTTTGTATCGTCCGTCTGTGGCTCCACCTGAGGAAGGACGATCCGAGCATCAACCCTGGAAACGGGGTTATCCGAGGCATTAGGGTTGAGGTTGGAGGAGGCAGGGACAGCAGCCGGCGCAGTGGGAATGGCTCCAGAGAGGGATTGGAGGCGAGAGAGAGCTTTAGCGCGGCGGCGGAGGAGGACTCGGAAGTCCTTGGGGGAGATCTTGGGTCTGGGAATGAGCCATCGACGGGGAACGTCGGTGGGGACTTTGTGGAGGTTGCCTTTGTATAAGGATATTGCTACCATCTCTCATGCTCTGATTTCTATCTTCCATCTCTCTGGTTTCTCAATTTGGTCGCAGCCATTATTTTATCNGTTTTTTGCCTGCCAAAGAGTAAATGAAAATTAGATAATTCATGTGACTAAGAATACAAATGTGAGGTCTTTAAAAGAAAAAAATGAGATGGTAAAAAAAGGTGTGGCCTGACCAAAAGATTTTCAATTGGAAGTCAAAATGTTTGTATCCCTCTTAAAGTCTTAAGTTGCTCCGTACTTTGCAACTCTTAATCAATAATTTTTTTTGTATCGGGAGCTATCTGAACTTGTAGAAATAATTTAAGAAAAACATGATGAACTTTGTTCATTTCATGTACAACAACAACAAATCCAGTAAAATCCCGCAAAATTAAAGTCCCGGAGGGTGGGTTTAGGTCGACCTTGCCCCTACTCGAAAGTAGAGACTAGAGAGGCTGTTTCCAAGAGAACCCCGACTAAAGCACAGTCAACGTAAACCATCAAAACGGACACAAAGCATATGAAAGAATAAAAGCCAAGAGCAAAAATGTTGTAAACAGTTAACATTGTTGTTGTATGTTTTTACTTACCTTCCTTTGAAGAACTAGAAAAATGTAAAAACAACAGGAAATGAATTGTTTCTTATGCAGCGGGATGATTATCGTATTCTTCATGGAATTTTCACCCATGAAAAAGGGAAATTTAACCGAATATTTCCATCACTTCATCCGAAAAAAGAAGATCATTTCCTGCTTCTCCACACCTTTGAAGTCAGGGTCTTAGCCCTTAAAAATTCTATACCAACATTTTGCTTGAATCTTAGTTTGAACAAGTGTGCCTAGGGGGCACTAGCTTACTTAGTTGCATCGCTTAACATGAGCCAGTGCATTATGCACACCTTCCTTGCCTTTTTATCCAGGCACAAGGCGCAATATCTTGAGTGCTCAAGGAATGCTATGATTGTTTTTTTTTTTGGTAAAAAATATGTATATCTGGGAGAAGTGACTATAGTAGTGCAACCCAACAAAAATAGCGTCAAAATCTTCTTTAATCAGTAAACTCACAATCCCTCTCGCATTACTAGGTAATTTTCTTCTCCTTTCTCCTCCTTTTTCTTCTTCCTCGTTGATCTTTTCTTCTTCTCTTCGTCTTTCTTCCTTCCCCTCTTCCTTTTCTTCTTCCATATACTCTTCTTCGTTCACAATTAATTCTATTGTTTCTTCTAATTCTGGTTGGGCTCGCTCTCTTTGTGCTGGATAACAGAGGGCCGACTTGCTGTTAATTATTTAGTTTCTCCTTTTTGGTAGTTTCTGTGTACTTGTGTTCGCTCTCTCTTTCCTGCACTCCAACTAAATAATTGCTACTATTTCTTTCATGGAGACATGGAGTGTTGTTGTTTCTTATCTATACCCTCCATCCCAATTTAATTTTCCTACTTTGACTTCACAAAGATTAAGAAAAGAGTTGAAAAGATGTTAAAAAGTGAAAAGTGAGTGGTTAGCATTTCTCTGGGAGATAGAGGAGTATTTAGGACCAGATATTCTTTTCCAAAAAAGAAGAGAAAAAGTGAAAAAATTATTGTTGGAAGGATGAAAAAGGAAAGTCCAAACACTTTTGTGGGATGAAGGGAGTATAAATATTCTTACTGCTTTGTTAATGTAAATGCTTCTTGTACACTGATTTTCCACATATGTGTTTTACTAGAGGATTTCTACAAAAAGAAAAAAAACATAAAGTGTATTAGCACTGGATGTAATACACTCATGCTCAACCTTTAATTGACAATTATGTGTTCAGATAAATCACAATTTGTTTTTTGTTTACTTTTAATTTTGTTATGAACTTTGAAGTTCTAACAACGAAGCTGTTTGGTTTTGATTGCTTCTATGTTTCATGTGGAAAGTTTGATGTTGAATGTGGTTGTGAATGATATTCTTGTGTTTTATTGCAAAATATCATGTCCAAGCAATATAAATGCATGTGATAAAAGAGGTGTGCCTCTATTCCGTGAGGTATGCACCTCCACTCCGTGCCTCGCACCCTGGTTTTGGGAACCCAAATCACGTCAGTAGACCTCATGCCTGTTGGAACTATGACTAGAATAAATTCTGTTCAATATCATTAAGTTTATGAGAAATGTGCTCTTTTCAACTCAGTTAGTTTAGAAATCGATTTGTTTGTGTATTTTTTGTTAGTTATCATGTTCTGTGTAGGGTGATGCTGAATCCGGGTTTGAAAATTATAAGTTGGAAGCCCGTCTAGTTTGATTTTTTCGAGTCAAATTGGATGAACTTTAATCATCAATTACTCTCAACTTGTATTGTATATTAATACAATGAAATAAGACCATTTGACAAGAGTAAAAAGAGCCTTGGACTGAGTGAAACCATAAGCCCGCAAAGAAGTAGTCAATTTAGAGAACCAACGTCACGGGGCGTGAACTCGCTGCAGTTTCTAACTTATACTCCCTCAGCTAGTAAAAAAAGCATGAAGCTATTGATACGTAGTTACATAAAGCATATCCATGTCTAAGAATATCTAAAAATATCATTAGCTAGACTTATTACTAAATTACTAATTGGATTGTTTCTTTTGATTATTTTTCTTTTAGTCGAAAAATATGGACACCTACTGTACATAACAAAATGCACCAGGGCCTCCAAGAAAATATTGTTTGGTTTTTGTTTGAATTCAGGAAGTTCAATAAATGATTATAGGGGATCGAACACTGTCTTACACATGAAGAGTTGAATGAACCAAACTATTTTCTCCCACGCATCATGGTTGTGAGTTTCGTAGTTCCTTTTACAACCATTTCTTTACATATGATTACTTATCAAAAACACAAAGAAGAAATAAGCTTAAATAGATCATGTTTCCATGATAGTCTCATAAAAGGACAGGGGATGCAAAATGAAGCAAGAAATGTAAATGAGAAGGTAAATCTGCATTCTGCAACTCCTTTTCTCGTGAAGGAAGCTAGAAAATAGAAATCAAGAGGAGATTAAAGCAAAATATAAAACAATAGCCCTTAGGTCATTCCAATGCAAACACACATTTCCTAGTGAAATCAGAAGAATATCTGGACATAAATTGTACTGCATGTAGTTTTTTGGGTTCTGCATTCTTAATAGGAGGGCTAACAGGTCCCTTCATTCCCTAGAAGATCCATTTTGACATCAGCGTGCTAGTATAATCTCATTCACAATGGTTTGTACTTATTAGGATGACCATTCTTAGATTTTAGAGTTGTATCATATCTACCATTACACCTATATTTAGCAAACACAAAGATCTAAATTCATGAGAACAACAACTGCACATTTATAACACTGATCATTATGGAGCATAAAAAATAAATATAAAAACAGCAAAAAAATATACACATATAGATAAAACAGCATGATAGTATGAAGCATAGAAGAATATAAGCATACTTCATTACTTGGATTCACCGGAGTCTCGGATTTCTCCCCTTTTACAACATCGACCTTAGTTTCAAGCACCGGATCAGATCCCTCAACCAACTTCTCCGGAAATTCCACGCCATCAGAAACTTTGACTACCGTTGCTTTGTGACATCCAACCTCAACCTTGCCATCCCCTTTCTTTGTATCGTCCGTCTGTGGCTCCACCTGAGGAAGGACGATCCGAGCATCAACCCTGGAAACGGGGTTATCCGAGGCAATAGGGTTGAGGTTGGAGGAGGCAGGAACAGCAGCCGGCGCAGTGGGATTGGCTCCAGAGAGGGATTGGAGGCGAGAGAGAGCTTTAGCGCGGCGGCGGAGGAGGACTCGGAAGTCCTTGGGGGAGATATTGGGTCTGGGAATGAGCCATCGACGGGGAACGTCGGTGGGGACTTTGTGGAGGTTGCCTTTGTATAAGGATATTGCTACCATCTCTCATGCTCTGATTTCTATCTTCCATCTCTCTGGTTTCTCAATTTGGTCGCAGCCATTATTTTATCAGGAACCTCTTCTGCTGAGGGCAGACCCCGTGAAAATTTTATGGAGGATATTTTCGGTCCAGCAATAAAAATGACATTGGATATTATTGGAAGAATAAATGAATTTGGACTGAAAAAAGTTAGAATGTCCCAGAAGGCAAATTATTGCATGGATTTAAGATTTATAGTCTCTATGGTGAATCTTCATATATGTTCAATAAATACAATTTCTTTTGTTTTTGAGTATTAGTTTAATTTCGACTTTTTCCAATCAAAATTGGTTAATTTTGCCTTAAAACTAAATAAAAATGATACTAGATATTTATACAAATTATATGTCAAAGGTTGAAGAATGCCCTTTCTCTCGTACGAGAGAGAATCTTCCTTTAGAAATGACAAAAAAATCATTTTGACATGTTTGTCCTTACTACGATGTGTGACTCATCCTAAATTGTGAAATCCGCTCAAACTAAAACTCTCTCTGCTCAAAAAAATATAATCATCTTTCGAAAAACGTGTAAAACCACCTCTTTTAAAATAACTAAGTTCATACATGTGCATTGCACGACAAATAATTTCTTCCAAAATATTAAAATGATATTTTCTTAAAATAAATCTCTTAATATACATTAGTAACGAACTATATGAATTAATCTAACACACAATCACAATATTAGAAATAATTTAGTGGTTCGTACTCCCTCCGTCCCAGAGTATTTGTCCACTTTCATTTTTACATACTATCCAATGCACTTTTTTAATCCATTTTATCTTATAATTTGTATATTAAAAAATTATAGAAATTATATATTAATAATCTATATGTTAAGACAAATCAAATAAGATCACACATGGCTATATTTAGGCTTACACATTGAGAGAATTTGATGAGTCAAAGTGTTTAGATGAACAATTCCAAAAGTCAAAAGTGGACAAAAACTAGAGGACGGATGGAGTATAATTTATCTCATCTAATTTTCATGTCAAGTCAAAGATGGTTTTTTGTTTTGGACGAATGAAATAAGATATTCCAAAGATGTATTTCAAAATTAATGTATTGATATTTTTTCCTTTCAATGTACTCATCTAATTTGAGTTTTTTAATTCAAACAAGGCGAAGTTTGGACTACCTCAATTACCCTCTATTTGTATTACATATTAATACAAAATAATAAAACTTGGAAAGTTCTTAACAAGGTAGACTTAATGAAATTATTGATATACGAAAATAAATTGCAATTTTTAAAATAGAAATTCAAAGTTTGTCTAGTTTTATTCAAAAAAATCAAATGAGCCAAATCCACTAAATCAAAGTAGTATTCAATCTCCATCATCTCCGATGCAGCGAAAAATTCACTATTTTTTTTGTTTTAGGGTGTGATGGAGTAAGCAAAATAGACAACAATTAAATAGTCCTCAATAAACAATAATTACTAACGTGGTTCTTCGTAATTGAGATGTATTATTTAAATAGTTCTCTGTAAAAAAATGCATATTAAAGGTCAGTTAAATGGATGGTATTTTTGTATTTTTCAACATCTAAACTATGAATAAGTGCTCAAAGTGGTTCATTTAAATCAAAAGAATGACTGCTAGAGGAATTGACTCATCGCGAGTAGGCTCATGGACTCTATTTCGGAAAAACATTTACTTAGAAATTATTAGTTTGAAAAAATAATTAATTATAAAGAAGTATTTCCAAAACATACCTTAAGTCTAGATGATAGAAATACCAAAATATGTTTTATTTGACTGTTATTTAACATACATTTTCTACATAGGATTATTTAGGGAATGAAAAATTTGCTCCATATAGGACTACAAGGTAATACGTTTCCTTAAATAAGACCAAGTACGCTTTATTCCTTCTATGACACATATTTTTGTATGATCTGTAATATACATCCTCATTAGTAACAAGTGTTGGATAATGGCTGATTATACAAATGACTCTATGAATATAATCATTAGCAACAAGTGTTGGATAATGACTAATTATTTAATTTCAATGATTATTCAATTTGTTTGTTAATAATATCTTATCCTACTTGAATTGTGTAATATATCATTTTTTAAATAATGATTTGAAATTTTTTAGTAAACGTTTCAGTAGACTTTACAAACAACATCATAAGTAATATTAATAGAATAAATTATATTAAAAGAATGACCTATTAATAGAAGACATTACTAATATCACCCATTTTATTTATTAAAAACTGAGAATAAACTTGAAATTGGTACTAGAAGAATATCAATCAACGTGGATCTATCTGCATCCCCTTTTGGAGGATATTTTAAAGATTGAAGATGCCGGCCACCCGTGCTCCATAAGACACCTAATTTGTTCCGATTTTGGTTAGCAAACTCTAACTAACGCATTCAATCCAAACAGTTATACTTAAACGGGAGTTATAATCATTTGAATTTGAGAGTTTCATCGTTGATTCAGATCTAGAGATCATTGTAGAAGTTAACATCCCAATTCAGTGGCTGAGACGATCGAGAAGAAGGGCAAGGAAAATTGAAGTGAGAGAAAGCATCGTTATATGTTCGGATGTGGAGGGCATTTAGGAATTTTTCATTGCCAAACATTAGTGTAAATAGGACCGGTCCAATTTGGAGAAAATGATACTCCCTCCGTCCTAAAAAAGTATCTTCCCAGTTACTATTCACAAGGTCAAACTTAAATCACTTTCTTTACATATTTTTGTTAGTTATTTAATAAAATAATATAGTCTTGTCACCTTTTGTTTTGTAGAACTTTTGATGTAGTTTTTAAATACTCCGTATATAATTTTTTTTAAATTTTACACCTACAATCATATAAATTTAATTGAAAATAGAGTCGGTCAAACCTCGCAAACACAAACGGGAAGATGGTTTTAGGACGTAGGGAGTATGTTTAAGTTTCATTTGCTTAAATTACTTTTAGAGAATACATCTCAATTACAAAAGACCACATTAATTATTATTGGAATATTATTTATTGAAGACTAATTTAAAAAAACAAATAACCTCTTTCAAAATTCACTCTATTTTTCTCATACGGAATACTTTATGTTGGAAATTCTTTAAAAGTAACATATGGAGAGTATCAGAGTAAAGTGTTCTCCTTCTTGACTATCAAACTTCAAAGTATTAGTACTGCTGGTGATATTCATAAATTGGACCTGTTTTCAAGAATGCATAGCCATGGCCTGGGCAGCGAAAGAGATCCGCTCTTGAACAGACACGTAAGTTTATACACACACAACACACACACACACACACAAATAACCGCAGGAGTGCATATGAGATTTTATTTCTCGTTTTTTGTATGTGAATTGCATAAGAATTTGAAGAGTTTGCACTTATAATCTTATGGAAGGTATGTTTTATCGGATTGAAAGACAATCTTGCCTGTTTGTACCATGTATCATTTCTTTCGTGTATTTGTGCAGTTAATTTTTGTGCTTGACTTGTGTTTGATTATTTGATTCTTTGGTATTTTGTCTGTTTTGATATGTGATGTCTTAAAGTGGAAATTATAGTGTCATGGTTAACTAGATTAATATCTTGTTCTAAAGGGAGGAAGAAAAAGAGATGGTTCAACTGAGAATGGGCAGCTCATTGACCTCGAGCAAGGGGGTGAAGTGCCGGTAATTCGAAGTTTCCTCTGGACTTCCTGTTTTAGTGTTATGTGTATATGACCATCATAATGCGTAAGTTGCTAACTTCGTGTCCAAATTCAGGCACCAAATGTGGGATTTTGTCGTGTCCTTTCACTTGTAAGTAACTTGGATTGTTCTACTAGTGGAAGAGTTCTGTTATCAAGGTTAACTCTGTTATGCCAAGCTTTTAATCTTGTTGTTAAAAGGCTAAACCTGAAGCATGGAAGTTGACCCTTGCAACGATAGCACTCTTGATTGCATCAACATCTAGCATTTTGATAGTAAGTAGTTCTGAGAAGGAATGCCTCTGTCCACCCTCTAAAGAACTACAATTCAGAGTTTTCATTCAAATGAAAAGTTTTTTTTTTTGTAGCCAAAATTTGGGGGAACCATTATCGATATTGTTTCAAGGGATATCCATACAGACGAACAGAGAGCTGAAGCTATAGGAGCTGTCAAAGGCACTATTCTAGAAATATTTTTGATTGTGATAGTTGGGTATGTCTTACAAATTGATTGAAATTGATACACATCTAAGAAATTATTTTTCACTTTAGTTCCTCCTGTTTGAGCCTGCAAAACTCTAGAAGAGATATTGTTAGGGGTGAACCGGGGGTCTTATCAAGTTGTTATTTTTGGAGATGGAATTTTGGAATAATGAAGGGGAAATGGGCTGGATGAAAATATGGGAATGTGAAGGAGTTCTTTTTGGGTTTTGATATTATGAAGAAGAGTGGAAAATCAGGGATGAAGGATGGGTTTAGAAAGGATGGGATAAATTCCAAATAAGGAATAAGAGATAAACACACTCTTATCTTAATTTGGAGCCAAATTAATACTAAAGGATA